GTATTTTTTATTTACCAAATAAATTATAGTCTAATACTATAATTGACAGGTCTTGAAAAAGTGAAGCTGACGCACAGCTTTCACCTGCAAAATTAAGATAATCAAGTTTTGAAGCTAAAATACCTCAATCAATTTCCAAAGGCAAGGCTATAAGACAAACTGGAGTAGAGGATAATATTTCTCAGGCCTAGTGTGTTAATTCATGCTCAAGAACAGCAAAGCGGTTGTACTCTATGCTTACAAAAGACACCAAAACCACCTTCCCCAACCCAAATGATCTTACTGATCAAGACAAATTCTACTTAACATTCAATTAGTGCACCACATGTCTCCTCTGAACGTTTTTCTCATCAAGTTTTTGACTTATGACTGAAGACTTATCTACAAAAAGTGCAAAAACAATATCAAAACACGAGGAATGTGATCTTGCTATGACTCCTGTTCTGCATACAAACTTTCATACCAGCAAAACTACAGCACTGCTCTTTCTCAGCCACCTGCCTACACACTCATGACACACGCACACAGCCATTTAAAGACATCTCCCTCTTTCCACTGTTCTCATCTACATACTGTCAGTCCCAACAAAACAAATACACAGCTGCCTTTGCTCTGCTCTCGTAAAAAGCCCAGCAAATAAGGAGAGAGGGAAGGCCGCATGCCACTGAAAACACGCTCCACCATGACATCATTGCATCACTCATGCTCTACAGCCAAAGGTATGTATCCATCTAAGGCTGGAAATTGGACATGGCGGCGCTGCTAAGCAAGAATATGCAGCGAAAGGGAGTGTGAATAAGCTACAAAACTCAAATTGGAGAGCAGGAGGCTTCACAGCTAAACTACAACATTCATGACCCACTAGTTCCTGTTGTGGTGAAGCTAATTTCAACTGCAATGAAGCTGTCACAGCAACTGACTCAGCAAAGCAGTATAACTGACAGTTACCCTCTGTATCTTCCACACAGAGCTGGTGGTGAAAACACACACATCCGTTGGTTTAGCTAACAGCATGATACAAGCTCTTGTGTTATCTTATTTGACCCACATGACAATTGCAGAAGCTACACTGTTAAAAATAGATCTGCTTGAGGTTTAGGGGTAGAAAAGGGCAGGGTGATAAAACAGTTGGGAGTGTTTTTTATGTTGTTAAGTTCTTGGTTATTCATTACCTCCACCAAAACCACAGTTCACCATACTTGTTTGCATGATCTTAGCATAAGAAACCCACCATCTTTAGGGGGAACACCACAGAAGCTAGTGACAGCCAAAAACATTTGAAGTAAAAGGTTTGGACATTTGCTTGTCCAGCTGTCCTGCTATGCCCTAACAAAAGGGCTAGCCAACTCAGCATTTAGATGGACAAGAATAATTAGAAGTATACCCATTAAACCGTCACTAACTTGCCTAGAAGTATTGCCAGCAAACTTCCTACGAAATAAGGAATTTACAGGCCTGTAAAACAACAAGAGACTGACAGAATTCTTAGAAATGGTAAAAGGTTGATCTTCACTTGTGATAGAAAACAAATTTACAAAGTCAGAACTTCTGAGTCAACCCTGAAGGGAAAGATGCTGAGTACAGGGACAAGTGTTCTGTTCTGAAGATTTACTGGACAATCTAATCTAAGATGATAGGGGAAAAAAAAAACCTTTAAAAGAACCAAATGTGCCCATTATCTAGTAGCCTCATTCCTATAGTTCTTTTCAGATCCACCGCAACTTTGAAGGCCCCAATGAGTCAGAGCAAAACTGCAGCTTGGTACACAAAATTTTGCTTTGACTTAAATATGATAAAGATCTGTAACTGACAAATGCCATCAGTCAAATGTATCTGTGTTACTGCTGCCTTGACCTGTAACCACATCCTCTTTCCAAAGCACAAGAGGGCTTCATGCTGATAGGATGGAAAAGGAGTAGCTACATACCAAAATAGCCTCTTCCAGTCTCTGTTCCTGTTCAAGACTCCAGACAGCAGGCTTGCACAGGCAGAGGGAGGAAGTGGTTTTAATAACGTTTATCTCCATATCAAAACCTGGGCTATGAACATTTTCAGGGAACAGGATGAGGCAAATGCATCATTTCTATCAACACAAGGTGAAAAAAAATGGCACCTTACAAAAATAGGCAGGGTTTCTGTTGGGCTCACCTTTTTAACAGCACATAGAAAGTAATTTCATACCCGTTTCATGATCAAAACCATAATTAACCTTTCAAACTATTGTAATTCGCAGTGACATTGTTTGCAATGGTGCTGACTGAAATGTTACAAACCTGAATTGAAGAAAAAGATTTAAAACTGCCTCCTGTGCGCAGGACACTGTCAAACCAAAGGGGCTTTCAGTTTAGAGATGTGCACTTTAGAACTATAATGACTGTGAGTCAAGACAATTGTAAATTTAATTCAAGACTTTCTAATACCATCTAAGCAAACTAAATTCAAAGTTTAAAACTGTACAAGACAAGCACATACCCTACTGGGATGATGAACGTTGATGTGCCGTGTGTTTATAGGTAGAGGACGGCAAGGAACGTTACACAACTTTACTATTTCACATCACTTTCCCTGCAAGAGAAACAACCCTTATGGTAGCAGCCAGACACGAGAAAGTCGACTGAGCTCTATCTCACTGTGAACCTACCAAATTTGCTTGCGGTAGTAGCATATGCTTAAAACCCTGCAGGTCATTCTAAGTCTGCAATCTGTGGCTGTCTATTCCGCAGACCAGCAACTAACACTCCGCCGAGGTGTAATTATTACAAACTTTGCTTCCATAAAATATATCACATTCAGTTCAATTTATCAACCCACTTACTGATAAATCCCTAAAAAAAAAAGCACAACCTTTAATCCGACAACTGACACCAGCTTCGGTCCATAAACAATCTAGTTACATACCAGCAACTACACCAAGTCCCGTTATCAAGCTTGTTAGCAAAATGCCGCTAACTAGATAGCTTTAACTGCCTGCGACGGACAAACCGCTAGCTCGTTAGCAAGCAGGCTAGCTAGCCGACACATTACTTTCCCTGGCGTATAAACAAAAAAAACCACTTATGTTGTAAAAAACATGCTACAACCACGTGCATCTCATAGCTCAAACATCAACTACACTTGGCAGGTTTTAAATCATCCTGCATTACGGTGTATTTGCTCGGAAAAGACAGAGCCGAGTGCTAACGTTACCTGTCCTTCCGCTTGGCCTTGACTAAAATGGGAGTACACACTCCGTTCTGTACTTGAGGTCATTTCTTCTCATTTATCCGATAAATAAAACACACGCCGTGCACGCTGTCATATCTGCTTATTATCCCGCAAGTGTCGACGCTATGTTCGTCCGCTCAAATAAGTTATTTGACCGCGTTTTGCAGCTAATAAAGTGTAGCATTTCAACTCACCGTTTCTCGCTCGCTGTCTCTTGCCGCTCCGCAAGTGTCAGTTTGCCTCCGGCCTGTGCGCGCAGCGGACGTCACTCCCCGCTGTTTCTCATTTTTCTTAAAAGGGCATGGCTCAGCCCGCGTCGTTTACATGATAACGGACTGCTCAGTCATGAGTGTCAATTAAAAAACACACTGGTTTTATTCATTGTTTGTAATATATATCAAATATGATACACACTTCTTTCAGGACTTACAGTTAAACATCACACACTCTTTAAATATAGGTTAATGTATGGCATGATGGATTATTGAAAAGGCCCACTGAGAACAGGCCCTGGGGCCCCCAAGAAGTAAGGGGTCTGGGCCAGAGCTTCTGTATGAAGTGACAGTTAATATTTCTGGTTTAAAAATCATTTAAGATTTGCAGCAGTTCCATAAAAAGACATAAAGACACACTAACGACTAATTGTCCATGCAATGGAAGGCCTTTTATCTGTCTATGCCCAGGGACCCATTTTCTTATAATCTGCCCATAATTTCAGTCAGGCAGTGCAAAAATTATTAAGCAAAAGTGCAATTTTATGTGTAAAGTGCAGTGGTGTAAGAATAATCTGACCCTCTTACACTTTTAATACACAGTCAGTGGTGTAGCTAAGTACATTTAAAGTAATGGAAGGATTATGAGCAAATGGGCCCCTGGGGAGAGCCAGGTGATAGACCTGGCACCCCTTGGACTATCAGTGTTTAGTGATTCTTTATAGTCATTCTACATCTCTTGCTGATTGTTTTATGTCTCCTTTTGGTAGTTTTGCATCTCATTTTGATTGTTCTGTCTCTTTATGGCCATTTGTTGTTTTGGGACTCTAGATGGTTGTGTATCCCCCAGTGAAAAGTATTCTGAGGTATTTTACTTGAGGAGTTTTACCATTTTCTGCTACTTCATAAATTGACATCACTACATTTCAGAGGTAAATATAATACTTTTTACTTGACTACATACAGTACACTCATATTTACTTTTCAGAATGAGATGAATAAAACAAAACACGATCCTCAGTGGGAAATTCATAAGCTATCCAGCAGTATGGAAGATACTTTAAATTATATTAGGTACTTATTAGCTTCACCTTAACCAGTTGCAACATTAAAGTGATGAACAAAATATGCTTCAATAATTATATTCCAATAATATGACATACATTGATTTGAAATGGGCAATTCCACATAACTACTTTTAATTTTGGTAATTCAGGTATATTTTGATAAATACTTTTATACTTTTACTTAACATTTTGAATACAAGACTTTTACTTGTGATATTTCTACCTTTACTTGAATAAAGAATAACAGCAGAAATTAACTGGTTTCAGTTTCTCAAACATGTATATTTGCTAGTCTTCTACATCTTCAGTGACAGCATACTCTGAATTAAAACTTGAGACTTTATTGGTTTTGCTTTTAAGTGTCAAGTCTTCAGGAAGTTGGATCTCAAATTATCATTTTTTTTGTGACATGTTTTTCTACAGTTTTGCCACAAGTGAACAATCCCCTTATTCATTCAGTGTCCTTCACGTGTAACTAGAGACAGAGATAGCTAATGTGTAACACTAAAATATGCGAACGTGCGAAGAAAGTGCTCCCTTATGTGTCTTTTGGAAAGAGAACCTATAAAAAAAAAGTTAGTTACACAGTTTGGGCAAACAAAGAGGGCAAAATTGGTCTGGATATCTTTGGGAGGAGTTCCCTCTAGTGGGGACTGAGCAAACCTGCAAAGGTAGCATGGATTATACTGAAGACAGCAGAGGAAAAACAACACAGATTTTCCACACGTAATCTAGGTTTTTAACAATAGACAACATCAGAATAAGATAAATTTATTCATAAGGCTACAACAGATGCATATTACAACTTATCTGTTTATTGTACCATAGTACAATTTCTTTTATTGATTCAATACAGCATGAGTCAATCCCTTGCTTGAATTTCTCCATTCATTTGTACTGCCTATGCCATCAACAATCTTTTACATACTGCTGCAATGAACGTCAAATCACTGTCACATAAAAAGACCAAAATGGTACAAATCTCAATCTAAAATAAATAAATGACCTTAAAAGAAACTAATATTATAGGAATAGTATTGTATCTGATAGATGTTTGTCTTCATAAGTCTGAACAAAATGAAGTCAAAGGGCCAGCCAAATGTCAACGGCCAGCCCAAGCAGGTGACATATTTAAGGCAAATAAAGACTAGCATGAGTGAATACAAGCAGAAGGCTTTAACTATATATACACATAAGTATCATATTTATATATAAGCATTATATACGTTTATTATGGTCCATGTGTGACATGTGTTTGCAAGATTCGACACTAACCAGAGCTTGTCTACCCTGAGCTCCCACTTTTTGGGCTACATGCAGACTGTATGTGAACAAAATAATAAAACGCACATCTCACAAACATCACACAACAAATCTCACCATGCCTGCATTTTACCACTGTTAGGTGAAAGGTATGAGCATGACAAGGCTGAGAATGGCGAAAGGCAGGTCTGTGCATGGTTCTTGAAAGAAGGAAAATGAAGATGTATTTTGTCCTTCTCTGACACAGTTCATAAAATCAGGTAGAGTTACTATTATTTGATGTTTGGCTTTCTACATCTCCATTTCTAACTTCAGCAAGGAATTCAAATAGGCCTAGAGAGTAAAGAAGTGTGGAGTCCTCTCACTGATATTGTCTATAGTCTCCGAATGCAGGGGTGGGCATCGAAGCAGGTGCGGGTTCCTCTGCAAACTGGGGCCCTGGACAGAAAAGGAAAACAAATCAGAGTGAGCTAACAACCAGACAGAGGTCTCGCCACTGTTGACTGTAAACAAAGAGGCACTACCCATAAAGCTAACTTCCTTTACACTTTATGTGCCACACATACATATTATACACAAATTCTAAGCAGAGTACTATTACAACTAACAATGGTGTTCACTGTCAGCTAATCTGTGGCTTATATTCTATAAAAAATGGATGGTTTGGTTTATAAAACATGAGAAATGATGATAAATGTTAATGACAGTTCAAGCACAAGTTGACTTGTTAATTTTTATGTTTTTCTTTAATTTACTCTGGCTTGGACCTCAGTGGTACATCACTTTGGACAAAAGTGTCTGTTAGCTTAAATGAAGTTTAAACTGCTTGTTCATCTGAGCAACTAGAACTAGGGAAAAATTTTACCTAATCCCTTAATAAATTATGAGAATTAATGGAAATCTGGTGTCAAACTAATTGCTTCAGCTCTGATGGAGGGTGCTCCCATTGGAAAGTGACAGAGGTATGTGACAAGAGGTCGTTACACGGACTAAATTACACCTGATTTTTAAGTATGCGATGGCTGTCAGATTGGAATTCGTGTTTTTTTTTTTTTATGTCTCACTCCTGCAGAAAAATAAACACAGAAGCAAAGAACAGAGATGGGGGTCAGCAGAGAAATGAGGATGTTTCACTTCTGTAGAATATTTATGGAGAAGCTTCTGATCAAGCCAAACAGGAAAGAGAACATTTTGAGTAAACTGTGCAATTGGACTATCACAAAAATGATGTAATATATATTCTGGTATAAATGTGGCTCACACTTCAATTACATCTGTGCAAGCATAACAGTTATAGTCATCAAAGGTGTTGAAACACAAGGTTGGATACATGTCATTTACAAACATGAAGGTGAACCATCAACACAAAAGGATCCAATCTGACAATAAATACATAAATGAATGAATAGCACTGAGTATTTAGACCTGTAACGTGAATGTAGCTTTACACTTTATCCACATTAAGTTAGATAGAAGCCTTACATTAGCAGATGAGATAAAGAAAGTGAATTTATAACATCCTAACTAATTCATACTGTTCTCTTCCTATACAATATCCTTCATATCAATCACTTCTATGGTTAGAGCTTCCAGTATCCCAGGTATCACTCACCAGTTGGGAACTGTGAAGAGGCAAACCTAGTAAGCAAGATTCCAGCGCCCTCTATCAAGGCCAGCAGAATACCTCCCATGGCTGCAGATCCTACCATGGCTATTGGCCCATCTAAGAGGATCAGGAGATAATGACACTTTAGTACAACAAGACTACATCTGGTTGTGTTGCCTTCAGTCAATTTGATCAAAATCTAGCTGTATAAAAAAGTCCAACAAGATAACATGTTCATTTTTAAAGCTGCATGGTCACAAATGAAATTAGGAAATGCACACTACAACATGCACTGCTGTTTGCCATGGTGTCTTTTTTGAAGCTACCACTTAAGTATGAAATTCTCCATTCCTACATATAAAACTATGACATCAACCCGCTGCAACCCCCAGGTTACTCCAGCAACCACAGTGATGAGCACAGCACCTTGCAGAAAAAGTGAACTTGCCAATTACTGATCTGAGAAAAACAGTTACATAGTTTGTCATTTGTATGAGGAATGTACTGTATGTGCTTTCTGGTGACTGTCAAATGCCAGCCTCCTCTAAGCTTACTCACTTCTTGCAGCGAGGATAGCTCCTGTCATGGCGCCACTCGTTATTGAGTTCCAGGGATCCTCCTTCCCTCGCACTTTTACTAAACCACAGTCGATTGTGGAGAAGAGGCCTCCCCATACTGCAAAACTACCTGCAACCCAAAACAAGATTCACATAACCTGAAGCAGTTAAGACATTTTGCATTTTGTTGAACCAGACCACATTCTTTTAGCATCAATAATTACCGACTGTTCTCTCCAAAATTAATAACATTCATCTAGGAAGTACAGTTATGGCTATTGTGTATGTACCAATGAATATTCAATTGTGACACATTTTCACCACAGAAAAAAGTAATGTCCATGCAGTCAGAGTTTCAACAAGAGCTCCAGAAACAGTATATTTAGCCATGTTTGATGAACATATTGAGTATAGAGATGGACAGTGGAACACTGGATTATACTGCAGCAGTGGTTTGAGAAGTTGGTGTGGACAACTGACATGATCAACACTGGAACTGTAAAGTCGGTAACTTTTCCAGCCTAAAAGTGAGTACTGGATACTAAAGAGACAATATTACTTAAAGGCAAACAATATTTAAATTTTGCATTCATGCACACCTCCAAGCTGTGGGGCTCTCGTCTTGATGGCAGTCAAGCTACCTCTCATTCTGTGGCTCATCCCCTGTGACACAGAGCAATAGACAACATTAGGTAATGGAAGCTCCATGTAATTTAAGACAGTGACTAACAAAAACATCAAGTGTGGAGCCACTGTTTTGTTCCAGCCTTTTATCCATCTATTTATCTATCTATATATGAAGCCATACTGTGCTATGTGCCATAATTTACTCCTAGATGATAGACATATTCTTATGTGTAGTGCATAATTAGAGCATCTTCTTTGGCAAATCTCTTCCAAGTAAAAAGTGAAAGGTTAGAAACTCTGTCTTGGAAAAATGAATATTTGACCAATTTATCAAAAACATAGCATTAGTTTTCAACTTAAATGACCTTGCTTAACTTTACTTTTACTATTTGTTCTTCATATGCCTTTTCACTGTGAAACTGAAACACCATAACATTGTAAACAACATTTCCTCTAATGTGACAATAAACAATAAAAAAATCACATCTCGTTTTTGGTACTAAAATAATTCTTTTTCTATCTAGACAACACTGTTGTCCAGCTGTTTTGGACTGAGGCAATAGAGCAAGATACAGTGTTGAGCTACACAACCAAACTTACTGAGGGTGCATTTCTGAAGCCTTTTACTGTCTGAAATATTCCGCCTCCAATAGCTCCCATGGTAAAAGCTCCCCCACAGTCGTCCACAATTCTCCAGGGGCTATGAGAATAACACAGCCATTAATTATGGTTCATTGCCACATAGTAAATAATAATAATGCAAAACACAGGCAGTGAAGATGTAATCAGGTTTTTTTTAGCCACGATGAAAAGCAAAACCTCTCAATGCATACATTTTAAATTCTGTGTAGAAACACTGAGATGCAGCCCAATGAGACCTCTGAAACAAATATACTCTTGCACAAGTCACTATACAGAGCACTGCAACAGCTTTTTACGTACAGTATACAGTAGTGTAATCCAAGTGCAATAAGCCCAGAACAGCCAAAACTTGGCATCAGTCAAAAATATGTGAAATTTTAGCAAATCATATACAACATTGTTGAGATCAACGCTGGTCATTATCGGTCAAATAACCCTTGCCAGCCATTGTGCAATACTCAGGACAGAGTTCTGCACCGAATATGGCATTTAAAAAAGGTCTCTCGTATAAAAATTGTATGTACCGAGCACATAACCTCAGACCGTCCACCATAAACCCCTCTTAAAAATGCAACCTAGAATGTTTTAAATTTGCCTATGTTTCATGGGTTGGGCCACGAGACTTGTATTAACGGAGTCAGGTCCGGATTTGATTTATGTTAAAGAAACTTTCAGGGAATGGGTCGGTTCCGCCGATAAAAAGCTTTACAGGCGAGGGTTTGCTCATCGGACCTGTGCAGGACACTACCTCAGAGTGCCCGCTGCCACTAGCAGATAGCATACAGTTCGCTAATTCAGCTATCTTACATATGCTACAGCGATATCGACAATTTAGCCAACTTCTAAGGAACAACAAGAAAATCACTGTGTTATTTGACATTGATGTAGGCCACCTATCACCTTATACAGACTCGACTACTTAAATCGGTAAACTAAATGTAAGGACACGTGCGTGATTAAACCGACAAGGTCACCAACAACGTGATTTAGCAACGTTATAATGCTAGCACAGGCTGCTAATGCAGGTATATGTCAAGTTAGCATTTCTGCTAACGCCAGCTAACGAGCCGGATTTGAAGTGTTCTGGGTAAGCCGCATGTTGTACCGTAAAAATAATTCTACTCACAGCGTTGTACTTAACTCAACGAGAAACAGTACAAACTATGAAAAAACGCAAGTAAACGTGTTACTTTTTCTATTTAAGACTCACCATGGCTCTCTAGCATATTCCTCCATTTTGTTCTCTTGCTGCTGCCCCTGGCGTAACACTTCCGGCAGACTGACGTAATACGACGCAACGTCTTAAAGGAATATTTCATGTGTAACAAACCTTGTTAAAAAACAGAATTTATTATACTGGTTTTGATTTGGCCTTTCCGAGAAGTTGCAAAAGATAGACAGTAAAATCAAAAAGCTATATAATATTAATATGCATGAGAAGCAGAGGAAGAAGTCTATAGTGAAGAAGATTTCTATGACTGTTTTTACATTTTGATTTACAGAGGCAACATCACTGTGAAAGAAAAACATACAAAAATACAGAATATATTTGTTGATATTGTTCCAGAGCATTAAGACAATGCCTAAATAACAGATTAAAAGAGATGCTGTAAGTAGTCTCTACAGAGCTAGGGTGGATTACCACCTGGGACAGAAAAGACCCAGATTCACTGTGTGACAGTTAATTGTAAATTGGTAATCTGGACAGGCTACATTTGAGGGGGTTTGTTTTAAAATCCACTTTCAGTATCTTCATTATAGTAGCCTACCTAATACTGTGCTTGGATGTATCATATTCCTAGATTACATAGTTTTAAATTAGATTACCACAAAGAGGGGGTGAAAAGTGGTCCAGCATGTAACAGACTAATCTAGCCATGCTACAGGGATGAAGGAACCTTAATGTATCGCTAACTTGAAGAGTAAACTACACTGCTGTAAATACCAAACACATCATCCGTTATCAATACCACTTATTTTGTGAAGGTTGCCGAGGGACTAGAACCTATTCCATCTGACAGTGGGTGAGAGGAGGGTTTAGTTCACCCTGGAAAGGTCGCCAGTCTATCACAGAGCGGACACATAGGAACAGACAACCATTCACATTTACATTCAAACCCTACATGTGCTACATTTTAAGGTTAGCTGAGTTAGTATTTTCATACAGTTGATGACCATGTTCTCCTCAGATGGCTTTTGTTGGCACTGAACAATTAGTCATCTCAACATTTTCATTCCTTTTTCCTCCATGTGAGATTGGTGCTGTTGCTCAGGGGAACAGCTACAGCTGAGAGACAGGCTACTGGCCTGCTGCCCATTATTAGAAATGAGAAAGGAATGACTTGCAGAGCAAGCCTTCATTGAGAAATGCCCAAATATAGACATTTCATGGATGCAGAGACTGAGGCAGAGCGACGGAGACATAAACTGGCTTGCTGCTGCTGCTGTTGTTCTCTCTGAACACTAAGGATGATAGCTCTCTCACTAGCTGGTGGGGAGACACTAAAGAACTCCCACTGTTTCCCTGCAGTTTTGAAGAAGTTGTGGAAAGTTTTTATTGCTGTTTGCAGAAGCACAAATGTGTAAAATGATGGAGAAATTCTTGAAAATAGCTTCAGTAACTCATTTGCCAGGATTCACACAGAGTATTACAGGAGTGCAAGAACTTTAAATCTAGCTGAAAAATAGTTTACGCTACAGATTGTATGTTAGCTATGTGTACAGCTGTACATCTATATATGGCTTTGTGTATATTGTGCATGTCTTTTTAGCAACAGCTAGATCTGAGTTTGACCATGCACTGTGGAAATATTTAAATACCTGAGTATTACCAGTGTGCAATTTCATATAGAAACTGAAACTGAAATAAAAGATGACTCAACAGATATTAATACACACATACCTAGATTTATCAACATATTGCAAAAGTCAGCTAATTTTATTTCAGACATATTGTACATTTTCACCTTGATGATATTAGCCAGGCATAACTTGTTGCTGCAAACATACCAGAATCTTTTATTGAAGACATACAGGCTCTGTAAGAAAGTCCTGTGTAGCCAAATATGACAAGGAATCCTTCATTACAAAGTGCACTTCCTTTAGAAATTACGTTCACTTACAAGCACAGCATTAAATCAGCCATTAATTGTTTTCTAAATCCAACATGTAGATGTATTACATAAAAGTCATGTAAAAGTGTATTATGCAATTATTTCCACGCTCAAACACCTTTGTCAAGCACCAGGATTCCACTGGGCTGCTTTCCAATCCATTAAACCCTGCCTGAGATATCTTGAGATTTGGCAATGGGACACACACACAATCAAAAAACTACCTTGACCTTTTCTTTTCCTTGCCCATATTTTCTTAAGTCAGGCCACCATGTTCATGAATTCCCTGATATTTCTACCATTTCACAATTCCCAGTTCAAACAGACAACTGATAAGTATACAGTGGATTCCCTCTCCACAAATAAATAAATGGTCAAATTAATGTTCACTATATTGTTGATAAACCTTTGTATATTAGAATTTTATAATGAGTGATTTGAATCTCTTATTATGCTCAACACGTTCCCACCACGCTCACATTCAGATGCATAAACAAGCCGGCATGGTATATGATCGGCTTCGTAATATCTAGTGCAAATAACCAGCAAAGCGTCAATATGAATGAAGGCAAACAACCACAAACTCATGATCACTCCGCGGTTGGTAAGTTGAGAGTCCTGCATCACTCATTCTCCACAGAGTCCTTTTGGTCCAGTGTTTGAGGGGAGAATTCATAGTGAGGGTTTGTGATCCAACCAACAGGCATCTCATGTTTCAATTTCTCTATCAGCCCCACAGAGAAGCTCTTCCACTGCAGCTGGGGGAGTATAGAGTTCATTTTCTTGAAAACCTGTGGTGAGATGTCTCTTCCTGCTCTCTCTTCCTTTTCACTTTACATTCTAGCAAGAAATATTACTGCAACCACCTTGGCACTGGCACCTGTGGGAAGAACAAAATATAAGTCTGAATGTAATGTGGCTAAGCTAACATTTCCACAAAACCACCATACATACCTTCTTGAGTTGTTTAATATTGCTTCCTCGGATTGAAGCAAGCAATTGGTCCCTTGAGTTTTTACTACTGCCTGGACTTTTTGCATCCAGCTTCCTCTGAGACACTGGAGTCAGAGAGTTCCTCAAGTTATCTACATCCAGCATAGGAGGCGGCGGAGGTGGAGGTCCACCTCCAGGGGGAGGTGGAGGCGGTGGTGGAGCTGGACCTCCAGCTCCTCTTTTAGGAGTCAGCTTTGGTGAAGGCATAGGTGAGGGTATAGGAGAAGGTTTGGGGGAAGCTTTGGGTGAGTTTCTCAGAGATCCTCCACCTCCTATGTTGGGCACCTCCAGTGTCCCCTTTTTTTCCCCGTTGGCCTGGGCCTGCTTCTGCTCCTGCAGGCGCTTCTGTCTTTGCCGGTCCATGTTGCGGCTCAGTATGTTTGTCGTAGTCATTCTGGGTCCAGCTAACTCAAAGTGGTAGCCCAGTTTGAGTAGGGTGGTGTTTTCCTTCAGAATCTTGATCATCTCCATTTCGGTCTTCCCACCACAGATGTGACGCTGGTTTTGAAAGCGAAGCTCAGTCAGTGTGGAGTTGTGCTGCAGTGCCTGGATAAGAGACAGGATGCCCTTGCCGGTGAGATGGTTGGAGTCAAGGTTGATGCTGGTGATGGTCTTGTTGCTGCGTAGTGTGCCAGCTATGGCATAAGCCACATGGTCATCTGCACGGCAGTTAGCCAAAGCAAATGTTTTAATGTGGGTGTTGTTGCGCAAAGCCTCTGCAAACTCGATGAGTGTTTTCGCTTTGATGACCTCGGAATTGTTGACATTGAGCTCAGTGAGGGAGGGGTCGTTGTTTTTAACTTGTTCCATCAGCTCATCAAACATGCTGGAGTCTTCATCCTCTTCCTCTTCCTCCTTTGCCTTGCTGTTTGGGATGTTTTTGCTGACACAGTTGCCAAGTTTCTCAGTTTCCTCAGGCTTTTTAACTTTTCCTTTGCCATCCTCTTTCTCTCTTTTATCATCTGCTTTTTTCTCTGTGCTCATCTTCTTCTCCTCTTTCACATGGTCACTATGGTTAACCAGCTTTTCTCTGTCTATTCTTGTTTCTGCCTTTTCATATTTCACCTGGGTGTCACCCAGCTCAGACGTTTGTCGCACAATTTTGGCATCAGGCTTGGTTTTATCTTGAGTTTTTTTCTCCTCTGCTTTCGGCTTCTTTTCTTCTGATTTACTCTCCTGGCTTTCTTGTGCCTTGCTCTGTTTATCCACCATTTTAGAGACAAGTCCTTGTGTCCTGATACTCTCAGATTTTCTCTCCTTTTCCTTACCCACATCCTTTTCACTTTTTTCTTGCAACTTTGAGATAATGTCCTTGGTTTTGCTGTCATCTCTTCTTCTGCAGTCTTCTTTCCTCTCTTTCTCTCTACTATCATCCTTTTTTTCCTGTAACTTGGAGATCATATCCTTTGTTTTGCTACCTGTGCTCTCTCTGTTTTCTCGTCTGTCTCTTAGCCTGTTGTCTTCCCATTTCTCTTTCTCATTACCCTCCTCTTTCACATCACTCTCTTTGCTCTCCTGTTTCCTATATTTACTTGAAAACCGACTTCGCTCTCCTTTCAAGCTTTCAGAATCTCTGCTGTTTCTGTCATCCACCTTGGTATCTCTTTCACTTGAAAGACTAGATTGTCTTCGTAACCCTACTTTCATGTCGCCATTCCCTTCCTGGCTCAGGCCCATCTTCCTCAGGTATTCCTGCTTCCGGCTCTCTTTCTTCGGCTCACCCTGCAGGAGGAACAAAAATAATGTTATGTTCTGTTAGAAAGCAAAGGAGTTAGAAATATGGTTACTTTAATCAAGCATCCCTGTGCAAGAGTTTGTCAAAGGGTGTAGTTCCCTGAACCAAAATAAATCATCAACACAGTAGCAGAATGTCTTCTTTCAGAACTGAAATGCATCTTTAAAGTCTCATAATTGACATGTACAGTATAACCTAATCACATAATCAGGCTAACACTGGTGTAAATACTGTATTTCTTTACTCTAATACCCTCATTGTAAACGCACATTCTCCTTGACACAATATGGCACGCATATTTACAGTTGGCAAAAGGACACAATCTTTTTTTTTTTTTTTTTATAGCAAATGGATAATTTTACAGCAAGTAGCTTGCTAAGTGCTTGATTTGTGAGTCTCCATCTGTTTTACTGTGTGAGGCCATGGCCCTGGCAGATGTATCCTTAAAAGGTAGCGAGCGTAGGAGCAATCAACCGAAGAATTCCATCAAGGCAGGATTAAGAAGCGCAGTAGGGCCACGGATCCATCGACTGAATTGCCTCCTTTTAGATACATAAAGCTTCCTGACACTCAGCTGAGGTCTTTGTGTTAAAATACCTTTTATAGCATATCACTAAACAAATTAAAATGCTTTGGTATGTTTCTGAATCTGTTTCTTTGCTTGTGAGAAGACGGCCAAGAATGTGAAATGGATGTAAACAAGCTGCCTCAGAGGGGGAAAGAATATTTTTCCTGGCACAGAAGCGACTCTGGGGATGCTATTTATGAGTGGATGGACTCAGGGTGCATTAGGGCCAGTTGGTAGTTTGCTTCAAGCAAAATGAAGGCTATCATTACAATACTGTAGATATATATATGTATATGTAAACGTATCTGCAGGTCATTTCAATTAAAAACTCACTCAAGAGCTCATACTTAAAATTCAGCACAAATTACAGTTTTTTTTGTGTCAAACCAAAATCAAGTTGTCACTCAACAACCAGTTAAGTGATAATTTTTCACTAACCTCAAGTGACTGTTCCCTCTGACTGAGCCTCTGTTTAGTGCCACTCTCCCTTCTGGTACCCATCTGAGCGTCCCAGACATTGTTGCTCATAGGTGGCTGTGCATGTTGGCTCTCCCCTTGAATGATGATCTTCCCATCCTCTGGGCTGAACTCCGGCCCTTTCATTATCTCCTTCTGCAGCTCCTCCATTTCGTCAGGTGAGAGGGTGGACAGCAGTCTTTCCAGGTCTGGGTCCTCGCTGACCTGGCGACCTGTACGGGTCAAGCCTTTTACCTTTTGCCTGGACATGGTTGCCTAAAATATCTGGGGTATAGGCTGCACCCTTGTAGATAACACAGAGAGATTTGGTTTCTTTGGAGGTGGTGATGGTATTAGCACAGTAAATCCCTTTATTTAAAATCAGACTAGTCCGTAATTTCTCTCCTATGGTGAGAAGCCGAGTATTCCCATGGGCCAAAGCTTATGCCCTGCTGTCCTGCTGCATCCTGCTCACCAAAAAGCCACCAGAGGCAACAATGCCAGTGCAAAGAGGTTGGACTCACAGTTTCTCAGTGAAGGGTACCAATGATGAACTGCAAGAGGCTCGCGTCGTCAAAGTGGACTGTGAGGCTGGGACATTCTTTGAAATCCTGTGAAAGTGCATGTCCATATTTAGTTCAGGGTACACACTCCTTTAAAGGTAATGGGAAGGGCTGAAGTTTACACAGATGACAGAGCAGAGTTCCAGAGACTTCCACTTTATATTTATATTAAGAGCAATTCCTGATAATTTGTTTGGTAATGACTCAAGTTTTGTAGTAAGAGTTGAGAATACCTCATTAGGTTTTCTGTCAGTATGAACTGGCAGGTTGTCTTTTAGAAAAAGTTTCTTTTTCCTGGTTTCTAGAAAAAAAAAAGTCTGATTAATATAGTCTTGTTTTTACAGGTGCTCCATATAAAACCAAAATGTCAATGAATTAGGGGGGAAACACATGAAACATGTGGTACAGTAGATTCACATGGTCGATAAATATATACAGTGAAAGGAAGTTATATATTCTACAGTTTTTATAAAATCATCCCTAAATTCTGATACTGAAAATGTGTGATCACGATGGTGAGATATTTCCTTTCATTCCAAACTGTTTGTGTAGTCATTTATAGCCTAAAAAAACATTTAAATAATGAATACAATTCTAAATTAGACTGAGTAAAACGAAAAGTAAAAAAATAAAAGACTAAACAAATCTAATATAAATGTGTAAAAAAAAAAAAAAAAAAGTATATTGCATGTGTCAACTTCAAAGAAAACTATAATAAATTCTGTACAGACTCGAATACAGAAAAAATAACAGAATGAATGTTTTTAGACGGTCAGGTTGCTTTTGGATAAGCTGCTGCTTGTGATGGAATGAAGTGGGTGAAATGAGTCAAATGTGCCGACCATCTGAACAGATTTAACATTTGTTTGGAGGTTAACATGGACATCTAGTGGCCACCATTTTAACTTATATTCCTTAGGAACAAATCCCTCTAAAAATAACAAAAGGACACAATAGTCGGTTGTATTTTACATTCCAAAGTTAAATTTTATGTCAATAAAAACTTTTAACTCGCTTTATCTTACAATGTCATACCATTCATATGACAACAGACAAAAGCCTCATCTAAAATGTATTTGCCAACGGATGTCAGTTTCATTATACACACTCATGGTTGAGAAGCACAAATAAACAAACATGTCGTTGAGCAAACGTCATGTCAAACTACATATGAAAGCATCTTACAAAGGAAGGTCCAGTGCTGTCTTTGTGCTTTGCTTTACAAAAGCTCAACAAATCTGTACACATGGACGCTGCCATTGGAGTTAATAATTTATGCTGTAAGCCAGAGGTAATAACTCTTGAATGATGCACTGCATGGTTTTGAAGTGAGACAAACTGCATCTGGAAGTCTCCAGAAGAGGTTTGAGAAAGCCCAGGCTTCTCTGCTCAGCATGATTTATTATTTTTTTTTTTTAAATATAAGCCCCATTTGATTTTAAGGGTGGGATACATTATATCTGAATAAAGATAATCCAGGCATCACATATTAGTCATCAGTTAAATGTACAACACATGCTTGAGGAGTCATGTTTTATAGTTCATACATTTTACAAAGGACACAAGACTGCTTTTTGTCTGTCCAAAGTGCTGAACGTGACCCTAGTACAGATGATATCATTTACAGGTTACAGGCTCCGACTTCACTGGAGCCCAGATCACTCACAGAAAATGTCAAAGAGCAGTTTGACACTTTGGGAAATGCATCTGTGTGTTTTCTTGTCGGGTTTAGTGCTGAGGATAGCACGCTCACGTCAACGCCAAAGCGGTGAACGATATCACGCAATTTGGTTTTGATTCGAATGCATTGTTAACAGGCTACTTCTGAATACATGTTAATTTCCACAAACTAATCTGCCAAACATGAAAGTTCACTAATCTGCAAACTATACTCTGTTTATCCTGCACAAAAGCCAAGTGCAGAAACAACCTGATTAACAGGGATTATGTGATTAAACAGCATTGAGAAGTGGTGTAGGCAGATTGTTTGAATGGGCAGAACCAAGGTTGCTGGTGTCTAGTCGTCATGTTAAACTAAGTTAACCAGCCACTGGTGCCAGCTACCAGGGATCCACGGACTGTCACTGTACATATCTAGAGGTGGAATGTAATTATGCACATTTACATAAGTACACTCCTAAAGTACAACCGTTTACTCCACTGCTGCTCTGTACTTCTATTTATCCACATTTCCGGGCATTTATTTGACAGCTTTAGTTTCTAGTTTGCGTATTCACATTAATGCAAAATATAATCAACAAAAAAAGTCTTATTATAAACTACTGCTACCCAGCAGGACATGAGTTAAACGAGCACCTTTACCAGCTGCAACATTAGTGATGTTTACATGTTAATCCAGTATTTTTATATTATTGTAAAATGGGCCATTCTGTATATTGAGTACTTCTTCTTTTGTGTTTCTACTCAAGGAATATTTTGACTTTGTTTTTGAAACAGAGTATTTCTGCACTGTGGCATTGATAGTGTTACTTAAGAAAAACATTTCAGTACTTCTTCCACCACTGTACCACAGAGTGGTATTAATCTGGTCACCTAATTTTGAAAATAAGAAGGCAAATAAGTACTTCCCAAAATTTCAAAACAGTCTTTGAAGAGAATCTACTTTTCCAACAGCAGTGATTTTTTGGCTTTGTAGCTTAGTTCAGAAGATGAGAACCCATTCACAGTAAAAGGTAATCTCCATAATAATCAATAACAAAACATTGCTTTAAATTAACTTATTACAATAAAATAAAATATTCAGCTGAAGAACATATTTACAAAATATTTAAATACTTTTTTTTCATGGTTAATTACAGTAAGGTGGGATGCGTTGTTTAAATGAAGCAGCATAAACTGCCACTCCCCCTGACCCCATACATTACAAGAAATAAACATTTAACATGAATATCACTGTAAAACATCCTACCTGGTATTATGGGATTCACCTAAAGACTGAGAACTGACTGGGTAGCATGCTGACGTAAGAGATGTTACGTTAGAACGGTGCAGCTAATGTACTACCATGAAATAATTAGTCAAGTCAGACACGAAAAGAAGAGATAAAAGTTAAGATAAAGTTGAAATGAACCAGTGACTACAGGCTTCTTACAGACAATCAGGACTGCCATAAAATCCATGAGGCCATCTGAGAAAATTTGAGAGGGTCACACTGCCTATCATCCAAACATGTCGCTTCTTAAATAAATCATGCAATCCTTATTTCCAGCTTTCTTTTTCACATTAGCCTCTACTGCATTACAAAAGAAAACATCAAATACAGGTGTAAAGATGTGGATAACATGAATCAGTGACTGAGATGACCTAGAATGTCACCTTAGGCAGTTACTGATTTACTAAACTTTAACAAAAGTAAAGTATTTTTAGGTTTATTAAGAGGGAGTGCATTATCTTTTTTTGTGAATCCTTTCAGACGCCTAGGGTAAAACAGCCCTGTCTTTAGGTGACACCCTGCCGCTGAGATGAGTGTGTCAGAGCACAGAGGTGGCAGCACAAGGTCGAGACACTGGCCTCACAACTCCCTTCAAACCCGCCCACAGCGATCACGGGTCAAGGTTGCACAACAGAAACTGATTCATGTAAACTCTGCAGAAAATTAGGACAAGTTGTAAATAAACAACAGCAACAACAAAAAAAAAAACTTAAAGTGCCTCCTGTTTTCATTCACAGGCAAAGCAGTGCTAGTCAAACTGCATGTATTTGAGTGTGTCTGTGTTTTTAGTGTGTGAGAGAGTGTTGCTGCCTTCTCCTTTTGAAACAGTCATTTCTCTCAGTAGCTGCTGCTCCCCATTGTTTGTGTGGATGAGCCCATCAATGACCAGGATACTGAGGTGGAGTGTAAGGTGGTGGGGCTGAAGAGAAAAGACAAAAACAAAGTCAAACCTTCATATAACCATCAGCAATATGCAATCCTAAAGTAATGTTGAACTGCTACACTTTTTTTTGTAAAACAAAAGCTCTTGAAGCTCATAGTTAAAGACCAGCCCCCAGACACACCAAGACTCATTTTTTTAGAGCAAGAAATGTGTCCTCATGTTTCATGACAATCTGCCTGCTCATTGATGAAATATTGCTAATTAGGTCTAACCTCCTGCAGGAGGACAAACTACAGTGTGATCAATAAATGTAATGGCAAACTGATCTATAGTTTTTGATATTGCCTGTGTAAGAATGACACTATGGGCTGATGTTGGAGCTACTGAAGGATCATCACCTAAACATCTGGAAACTTCCTCTGGGGACCATGAGCATTGACAGTAAATACAGCACTTTGGCCAGTGCTTGTCATTTATGTGCAGAAGTCTTGTTTAAGTTTTGAGACCTGATTAAATTGTTACTGAACCAAACAGCAAGTGATGGATGATCAGCAAAACAGAATATCACAGGAAGGAAGCTCCACAGCCCACCATGCTAATCTTACCCTGGCTGTATGCCGAGTCCACCGGGTGTGGTGGGTAGGGTCCTGGCTGCACCATGGGATACTGCGGTGGCATGCCAACATACTGGGGTGCCATCGGATAACCTGCATGTGGATACTCAGAGGGTCCCAGTGGTTTCCCATAAGCATCGTACATGGGCTCCACTGGGTAGCTGGCCATAGGGATCTGCTGGGCTGTGGGGCAGCAACATACAGATGGTTGTGGAGGAAAACTATAAGCTTAACACTGTGTGCAAAAGCATGGACATGAAGAGTAGAAGCTTTACCATCATATGGTGTCCTGCCCCTTTGTTGTCGTCTCTGGTAGAGGTAGCAGCAGGAGCACATGAAGCAGCACACCATGGTGGCAATGATGGCCACAAACAGGAGGATGGAGGAGGCAATGCCAGCTAAAGTGGTAGGGCTGAGGGGAGAAAAGAAGAGGACTTAAAGCTACAGTATGTTAATTTTTCCAAATCTTTTTGTTGTAGAAATATGCTCCAAAACTTGTCCTAATGAGCAGAGGTGCTGTCGAAGCCTCCTGTGACCCAGACTCATTGGACAGCACTGGCAGCAGTGCAGAGATATTAGCTTCTAAAAGTTGTTGAGCAGGACTGACCTCTATAACCGATCAGAGAGTTTCAATTATTCCTGCTTCATCAGTAAGTTTTGTTGCATTTTCATTTACTGTACTTTTATAAAAACAAATATCTGAACAGCTGGACAGTGTGTAGCAGACTGTAGTAGAGCATAGTGGAGCAGGGAGAGGGAGCAGTGGGCAGAGCAGAGTGGATTGATTTGGAGTTTCATGCTAGGGTTACCTTAAATTACATATTGTAGCTTTAAGTTACAAAACATTCCCTCTCTTTCTTTGGTCATCGAACCTCGTGCTTATTGCATCTTACTTTGAAGAGGATTAAAGATGTGAAGGCTGTAATGTGAAGCTTCTGATTCACACGCAAAGACCCTGAAATCACACCCCAATTACTGCGGTATACCCTCCATCTCTCTGTCTTTCTGCCCGATAACATCACCTCAAAGACTTGATGACGTGACAAAGCCCCAGGTTTCATCTAAGTCTCTGCCAACTACTGATCGAGGCCTCGTTTATCAAAGCATGTGTAGAACAAAGGTGTGTTCACCAACTGTCTGCATCAACAAGAAAACTTGTATTCATCTAAGTTGCACACACACACTTTCACTACAGTATATCACCACAGCAACAAACAAAAATAGGTCCAGCCAATCTGTTGCGGTTGGACAATTCCATAGTGTTTTGTCCAAAACTAAATAAATATCAATACAGTTACACTCTAAAGCAACTCACAGATCACCAATTAGTTTTGATTTCAGGCATTTTCAGGGTGATCCTTCAGCATATCTGCATCCACACGCATTTTCAATAGGAAATGCATTTCTCTAGTTAGTTTTGACAGGCTTTTTTCAGCTAACAAAAACTAAATAATACCTGTCAATTAAAATGACTAATATGAAATATTATTATATAATGAACTAATATAAAGTTCATTGATAACACAGGCTGATTACAAATGAATGTTACTGACAGAACTACATATCAGCTCCCTGGTGATCTACTAGAGAAACAAAAAGAACCAGAGACATTAATAGCATCATTTATTTTAAAAGAAATGATTGCCTTGTCTTCCAAATTAAAACACAAATGCAGGAACAATTGTGCATCTCTAATTTAGGAACCAATTTGTCCACAATTACACCCGTGTACCACATGGGATTTAGTGGTATGCCTCATCAGGGGTTCTACCTGTACACTTAATAACAATTACAAGAAGAAACTGATCAACTGGATTCTGTGCACATAAATCAGCATATACATGATCTAAGCACACATCTGTGTGTACGCACAGCTGATTAATGAGGCATCTGACCACCCACCAGGCTTCATAAGCTGCTCAGTAGATGGTTTCCCGTGCTATGGAGGCAAACTGCCATGGTGCAGCTCCTCCAGGTACAAGCTTGCTTAGTCCAGCATTATGATGATCCCTCACAGGGCATTAAACACCACTGAACACAGACAGCCGATGTGAGAGAGCAGCTGATGCAACAATTATTTTTTACATAAAACCCACCTCTTTTCTTTGTCATGTAAATCACCCTATACTCATAATATTACCCTACAATACAAATGCCACTGTTAAGTGTTACACTTAATCACATGATTCTACAACTTCAAGTGCAATTTTTGTATTTATATATTTATTGCATCATCTTTATCTCCTCACTTTGATTCTGATTATTTGTGTCACAGTAAATTTAGAAGTATCTCTAAGGTGCTTTAACTAAGATTTTAAAACATTGTCTAATAAATCAAGTGAAAATGAGACAGAACGTGGCGTCTCTCCACTCTCCTACCCGCCTCCATGACACTCTGCTGCCTACAGCCCTTCTGTTGTTATTCCAGCCTTTCTACACTGTGTTGTCCCCCGCAGCCCACCCCCCCACCTAGCAAAGGTTACAAAAAGCATTTTTCAAACCAAAAGAAATTATTTCTAACAACCAGCCATGGAGCTCAAAGTCCAAGACAGTGGCTGCCAGACCACATTCTTTGACATAGAGAGAGTTGGACACAGAAAGAGGGTTAAAAACCAGGGTCAGCGTCAGTTTGGCTTTTTGAGATGGAGCGTGTTAAACACAGCTAAGCTATTCAGATGTGGCATTAATCCTTCTAGATGCATTAGCATCTAAAGCTAATGTGTGTAGCACTGTCATGACTCTGTACTGAATTGATATGATTTTAATTTCTGAGTATTTCAAGTTTGTGTAACAATAGTGCTTTGTGTGTGACATTAGCAGTAACCAGAGCATTCTACTGGGCTGCCAGCTTTACTCATTAGTCAGCTAACGCTAGCTTCACACTGGAGGTTGCATTTTGTATAGTTTGGTGCAACCAGGATGTTATTGGAGGGGCAAAAGACAAGTTAGGAGCGACTTATGAAGTCAATTTGTTTTGAGTTTCACAAAATCATCTTGATTACATTTAAATCCCCCACCTGAACTGGAAGAGCATGCAGCGTTTCTGCTCCCGCTCTGTGATCATCTTGAAGGTGTCCAGGCAGCAGTAGCGCCGGTGGCAGTTCCCACAGCAGAAGGTGATGAGAGGGCAGTCGAAGCCGTTATGCCAGGTGCCGTTTTTGTCCACATACCATAAACAGTCCTCATTCCCGCTGACTGCAAAACAACAATCAACAAAGGAAAGGTGATCAGAAATAGTAAGAAGTGAATGAAGCAGCAGGTCAGACTTCATGCTTCAAGTTCCTCCATATCTCTAAGTTATTGACATGTTTTTTTCAGTTTTATCACGCATTATCAAAAGGAGAACGTTTCTGACTGTTCACTTACAGATACAGCTTTATTCTGCCTTCAGGATTAAATAAACATTTATTTCAAACATGCAACGGCTCTTCGCTCTTTGCCTTTCCTGTTCCAGGCCTGACACAGCCATAATCATGCATTATTCAACACTTCCTGTGACAAAGTTTGAAAACTGATTAGGGCACAAGTAAGGTACAAAGGATATTTAAAACTTGTATGTCTGAAATAACAAAGGTGACAAAGTATAAATCCTGCAGCTACCAACCATTTTTAACCATCATTTAACCTTCTACTAATCTTTTCTATGAACTGACTAATTATTTGTTCTATAAAACATCACAAAACAGTTACCCAACTATCAAATATCTGGTACTTGTTGCTGGAAAATTCACTTTCATTGTCAAAATAGTTGGAGGTCTTAGTATTTCAATTGTCTTTGTCACCATAAAAGAAAATCTAGTCAGTCCTTGTACCCATGATTAACTATTTTGAAAAGCCAGAAATGCAATAAAGTGGAGGAACAGTGAATCTGTGTTGTTTCAGTTCTGTGGTCTGTGGGCTTGGAAGACAATGGCGCACATACTAACGTAGAGGTAAGTCTTGAGTTGAAAAGACGATGCATGATGTTGTTTTCCACAACATATAATTTAAGGCAGCACTAAATTACAGCCTGGTCATGTGTGCAGGCTGCTACATGTCACACCGCCTTGTACATTCAATATGAACTCTCTGAAGCTCCTAACACTGACACATGCTGAAAAGTAGCCCAGACCCTACAATCTGAGTGAATTCTGTATGCAAATAAAACAACACCTTTAATCGGCTCTTCCTAAACTGAACGGTGGCTTTCTTCTAGGTTTGTTAAACTGATGCAAACTCCATTAGAGGGCGTCTGCAGAAGGGCTGCAGCGGTATACCATGGTACCAGAGCCCCACTTCACTTCAACTAGAACAGTCAAATTCTTACTTAAGTAAAGGATGTGAATACTTCATCTACTGCTGGTGCTAGGATGCAAACTAACATGTTTTATTCATAAGCTTTTTTTTTTTTAAACCGTGTTTATAATTCTGTTTATTCTTCAATATCAATCTATTGCTGTAGTCCGGCTCCATCAACCATCAGTCACTTACAATAAAAAAACACCCTCTGTTTTCATTTCTTTGAGGGCACTGTAGCTGATAATAATAGTAATTATGTAATATCATATACCTTAACACCATGAAACTGTGATATTTTCTGAGTATCACACCAAGAAAATCTCACCCTAGTCTGCAGTACAGTGACGACTGAGCCAAGATTAATATAGACTTGGCTCCAGAACCTGTTCACACTCATTCTGGACCATGACCGTTGAGTGTTGACATTGAGAAAACTTATTCCACAGTTTATAAAAGCTTTGATGAAAATAAGTGTTGTTTGGTTGTTGACAAGGCTATAAGCAGCTAAAATAAGTTTGTCACAGTGCTAACTTTAAAGTGATCAAGGCCCTTAGCTTGTTGAGTAACTGTTAAATTTAAGCAAAGTAACAACTTCATCCTAATCAGGGGAGCATTTATTGCAGGATTGTTATTTGACTGCATTACCTTTATCTATAGATGCACCCAATAAACTGGAAACTTTGATTTTATATGTAAACTGTTGTTATTATATAATTTTAATGTTGTGCTGTACACATCCCTCTGCAACTGATAGTTTTTTCAAATGCCTAGTCTAATGGCTAGTGTGGCTAATGGCTAGTGTGGCTAATGGCTAGTGAGGCTAACTGGTGAACAGATCTGGCGACTGGGCAACAAATTCCTTGTGTGTGCGCAACATACTTGGCCAAATAAAGGTGACTATTATTATTATTATGAATGCGCCTCCTTGTTAACATAAATAAATTACATGGAAGTCTTGACTTGATATTGTTATCCTTTTTTTCCCAGTCTCACTATCCACAGTCATATTTTTTAAAATCACAACATATTGCTGTCGTTGTTCTTTGCAGTGTTGATCTAATCTATATGGCCCTGTTCAACAAACAAACACCACTTTTTAATTTTACATTTAATTTAATTTAGCCACTTTTATTGGCCAACCTTTACATCATGCAAACAGCATATTGTAGACTTACCGTGGGATGGCATATAGAGTTAGTTTTGTTAAAGAAGACCGTTTTAATCATGTTTATTCTTGAGTTGATGCAGACAGAAAAAAAAATCGACTACAGCAATGAATCGTCTATAACGCACACACATACATATATAGACTTAATTTACAAATTAAATTAGTAAAAAAAACTGCACATAAGTCAAAAAGACCCGTTCACACAAGCTTGTAGCAATATTTTCAAAATGCGGTTGGACACTAATAAGCCAGTTCCAGCTATCCAGACCTAAAACAACCATCGGTGTAAACAGTTGGAAGGCAGCCGGAGGCCCTGGCAGAGCGCCCCGAGGTCTGCTGTCAACAGCTGCAATAAATAAAAGCCAAACAGGTGGACAAATAACGATAACAGGGATGTCCCGTTAAGACGTTACCGTTAGCTAGCAGCGCGGCCTGGTTGAAAAGCCGTAATCTTACCCTGAGAAGTGCTGAGGACGATGGCGAGCAAAGCCAGAGTCACCGCGGCGAAGGACACGTTGCCCGTTGGAAAGACCATCCTGATCCTAAATGTAAACCAAGCGACCGCAATTTATACACGAGTTGTTTTCACCAGTGTAAAGCTACTAGAATATTCGGACTAACGGTCATTCTCCATCATTATCCTGGCTCGGTAACAACATGGGAGACGGAACGGAATTTCACGGTCTATAATTTATCTGGTGAAATGACACATCGCTGTTGTGACGACGTTTACCGGGGACGTGCGCCACGATGCCTTCACGTGCTGTCGGAAATAATCTCCATCGGTAAGGGGATAAGGGACCGGTTTCATCATATTTATTTGCGCAAACGAGCAACAGTAACTCTAGCAGTGGCAGAAGCACCCATATCTTTTACTTGGGTAAGTGTGGCAGTACCACAATGTTACAAATAAAAGTTTAGGCACCCCTTGATAAATAACAGATTTTGGTGATTTTTTTTATTTATTTGAACAGATGTTAACACAGTCTCTCTTGGAAATGGAAAAAATGCACAATATTTTCAGCAAACAGTGATGCATAGTTACTTCTTATGCCATAAATTGAACAAAAATAAAAAATAAAAACATTATTATGGCATGGTGCAAAAGTTTGGGCACCCTACACAATCAGTACTTAGTAACACCTCCTCTGGCAGATATCACAGCTTGCAAACGCTTTTCATAGCCAGCTAAAAGTCTTTCAATTCTTATACTTGGGATCTTCTCCCATTCTTCCTTGCAAAAGGCTTCTAGTTCTGTAATATTCTGTGGTCGTCTTGCATGCACAGCTCTTTTAAGATCTACCCACAAATTTCCAATGATGTTTAAATCAGGGGACTGTGATGGCCATTCCAAAACCTTCAGCCTGCGTCTCTTGAGGTATTCCATAGTGGATTTCGAGGTATGTTTAGGATCATGTTCCTGTTGTAGAAGCCATCCTCTTTTCAGCTTCAGCTTTTTTACAGATGGTGTGATGTTTGCTTCCAGAATTTGCTGGTATTTAATGGAATCCATTCTTCCCTCCACCCGTGCAATGTTTCCTGTGCCACTGGCTGCAACACAACCCCAGAGCATGATAGATCCACCCCCATGCTTAATAGTTGGCAAGGTGTTCTTTTCATGAAATGCTGCTCCTTTTTTTCTCCAAACATGCCTTTGCTGATTGTGTCCAAAGAGTTCTATTTTAACTTCATCAGTCCACAGCACTTGTTTCCAAAACGCATCAGGCTTCTGTAGATGTCCTGTTGCATACTTCAGACGTTGGATTTTATGATGGGGACGCAGATAAGGTTTTCTTCTGCTGACTCTTCCATGAAGGCCTTGTCTGTGCAAGCATCGCTGCACAGTGGAACGGTGCACCACCACTCCTGAGTCTGCTAAATCTTCCTGCAGGATTTTTGCAGTCAAATGGGGGTTTTGATTTGTCTTTCTGACCAGCATACGAGCAGTTCTGTCCGAGAGTTTTCTTGGTCTTCCAGATCTCATCTTGACCTCCACAGTTCCCCTGATCTGCCATCTCTTAATTACATTTCTTACTGTGGAAACTGCAAGCTGACAACGCTTTGCTATCTTCTTGTAGCCTTCTCCTGCATTGTGGGCATCAATAACTTTCATTTTCAGGGTCTTACACAGCTGCTTAGAGGAACCCATGGTTGCTGGGTGTCCGCAAGTGTGTGCACAAGGTTTGAAGAGTCAAAGTATTTGTACAGCTTTGAAATTGGCATTTACCAATGACAGCTGTTGCTGTGCATCAGATCTAACGAGCTGATTAAGGTCTGAAACCTTGTGAGAGACTTTGAGACTCTGGAACTCTTAGGGTGCCCAAACTTTTGCACCATGCCATAATAATGTTTTTATTTTTTATTTTTGTTCAATTTATGGCATAAGAAGTAACTATGCATCACTGTTTGCAGAAAATATTGTGCATTTTTTCCATTTCCAAGAGAAACTGTGTTAACATCTGTTCAAATAAAAAATCACCAAAATCTGTTATTTATCAAGGGGTGCCTAAACTTTTGCAAGAGACTGTACCAAATGCTGAATAGCCTGTTTTAGAATGACGGGTATTATAAGACTCGATTATATTAAGATTTGTTAAGTGAAAAGTTCTCCCTTGTATTAGGATATTTTAATCTGGAATTAATGTTTTATTTTATTGTAAAATAAGAATATCCATATCTGATTGAATGCAAAATAAAATAACATTTTCATAATTTTAGTGCTCTAGCCTGCCTTAAGATAAAGACGCACACTTTTAAACACACATACACAAAACAGAGTGAAACAGCCAGACAGCACATCAAAATATGGTTTTTAGGATTTGGTTGTAAACAGAAAGGTCCATAAATTTAAGGGATTTGTAGATTAAACTGCCCAATATTTTCCATAAAAAACATTTACCTGTACACTTCAATAAGAATCTGATTGTAGGACTTTCACTTGGGGTACTGCCTGGATTTGAGTATGCATAAACATATCATAAAAATAAAAATGTCAAGATTAGAAATGTAGATTTTTCATAGTATTACAGTGAGAGGTGAAAAACGATGACCAAAAAAATAGGCCAGCTTGTTTTTTTTTAAACACTATATAATAAAATCCACTTATCCCCAAGTTTTATTGGTTTGACTGTTCTAAATACTATAGGCAAACCACAACCCAGATGGCTTTAAGGCAGTGTGAGGCTGCTGAAAAAGTCAGTGCTTTTTCTGTATTTATTAATGAGAAAAGCAAAGCAAACATGTAAAAGTGAAAAATACTTGTATGATCAGCAATTAAAAACAAGTGAGAGCACTCAAATACACAGAAAAAAAATTATTACATTACACATTCATAGTCCACCGACTCAAGTGTTTCTGATCCAACCTGCTCCTGTAACCAGCTGGGGTTGGATATGCACAATATCTACTACAGGTAAACCTGAGGGAGTGTGAGGATCCACCAGGAAGAAGGGGATAAACTGCCCAAATCCAGGTGTAAAACTTGTACAGGCTTATCCAGGAACACTCATATGTAATTACTGTCTGACGTACAACGTACTGAATTAAGGGTTTGAACAACACAAAGTATGCAGAGAATGAATAGGCCTGACTACCTTATGAAGCCAATAATCATTCATTCTTAATCGTTTTGGATGAATATTTTTACTGTCAAGATTTGAAATACTTCAAGGTTAAATATGTGAAAATTGAAACTCAGCCACCAGTGACTTTCACCAGTGCACACTCTTGCAACCCAGACAGTATGAATGCTTAGTTTGCATTTTCCCAAAATAAATAAATGCTGTAGCAGCGAAGGAAGCCAGACTGACAGCATAAAGAGTGACTGTATCCCCTGGGAACAAGCAACACCCGTGTTTCAGTTATAACTTTATCATTTTGTACAAAAATATATTTCTTCTAGCTTGGGGAGACAAGAAAGGAATCTGGAACTCAATCTGGAAATGGTGTCCATTCTGGACTTTTATTTAGAAATTATTCCATCCCTATTCCATTTCAGTAGGTACAGGGAAATGACAAGGCTGTGAATAACCATGGCAACTGTGTGAATTCCCAAAGACCCATGTGACATGACAGCTGGTCAAAGAGCTTTGCATTTCCTGTCAGAAACTGTCAACATTTTTGAAAAACTAAGGCCGCCCACATTTCTCTCCCTCTCCGAAGATGAGAGTGTTTATTCCTTTGAGTTTTCATCAATCAATGTAAAGTCTCTTGGAAGTGTTTTCCACATTGCATTTCACTGTTTATACAGAAACACAAAAATAACAGGCTAGGTAGCTAGTAGGACATGGAAAAGTAGTCCATTTGTATTTCATGATTCTCCTGTCCTGCTTTGTAAGGGTTCAACCTTGTTAATCAATCCTCTGGTCCCATCTGAAATTACTCCAGAAAGCTGAGTCCTCTGAGGAATAGACCTGTGCAGTTTCTCCCCTCTTCATCCTTATCACTAACACCAGCAGTCCTTCATCCCATCACAAATGGGGAGAAACAGGGGAGTTATGGGTAAGTGCATGTCTCTGTCTCTCTCTCTGCTCTGTTCCCTTCCTCTGCCAGGCCCAACATCCCAAATTTTTTCTTCTTTTGTTTTGCTAGTTTGTAAATTCTTCATGAGATCTTGAGTGATGGGGCAGCAGAAGAGAGTTTTGGGGCATCGTAGATGGAAAAAGATAGCTGAAGTGACAAGGGGCGATGCTAGAGGCCTATGGATTGCAGGGTTTGTCTCTCGGCGTTGTTGAGGTGGCCTGAGAACATGCTGTAACATGGCTGTTGGGCAAACTGGGTCAGGAAGTCAGTCAGGTATGCCTGGAAAAAGACAGATGATACATAGGTCAAAGTTTGTACAGCTGTAGTTTATAAAGTATATTTTCCTTAATAAAAATTTGCAATATGGTGTTCATTCTTTGAGTCATTACAGGTGCAATGTTGGAGCTGGATCTGGACATTAAAAAAATCTCAGTGTGTATCTGTGTGTGACTGACTCAGAGAAAGACCAGAGGGCAGTCAATGGACAAAAATCATGTAGCCATGATAATAATTTTAAATTCTGTACTGCAATTTTTTGTTCCTTAAGGAAGGGACGTGCTTGACAACTAGACTGGAATAAGTCTGTTTCCACCAACTTGCACAGATTTTGTCCTTGCCAGTCATAAAGACCATTCGTCATTTTGGCAGATTAGAACACAGAGGGCAATCTACACTAACAAAGTTAGGTTATAGAGGCTACTAAAAAGCCCAAATGGTTGCTATGGCATTGATAAGCAAAGTGAAAAAAAAGAGGAACTGATGCGGTGGATGAAGGACATCTGAGACCTACTCAATGCACCTCACTATCTGGGAGCTGACAGCCTGTTGAAGAGCCATGTACCGGAGGCCACGGAGCATATCTGTGACCACAAACAGATCACAGAGGGGTGCAGAAGGAGCGCATGCAGCAGATTCCTCCTGGTGATGCGAGTGCATCAAGATCAAGAAATCTCACGTTCCGAGGAACTTATCACTTCCAGAGAGAAATGTTTCCCAACTATGGCTGAAATGGAGCTGGCAAGTCCAGTCTCCAGTGTGGCAGCAGAGCGCTGGTTCAGCTTTCAGGTCAAAATTTTAAGGGACATGAGAAACCTAAGACAAATATGTCTTATCATGGAAAAGGAAAATTAAATTGAAGGGTAACCATAAACTATGATCCTTACCCTAGTGTGACCTCAGCAATACACTGTTGGAGAGTTTGGAATAAAACATGGTGAGAGCTGTGTCAGTTTAATAACATCACTGACACCAGCTCCCCCGGGCAAGCCTGTATGGTGACGTAAACACCTTATATGTGCTACAGTAACTTAAAAATACAACAATAATAATAATAATAATAATAATAATAGCAGTCTGGTGTTATGATACAGCTCACACAGAGAATATCCCTGCATGACCCACTAGTAAATCTGGAATGTGCCTGAACACAGACTCCCCCACCAGACAGACTAAAGGTGGGACAACACGTGAAATCAGAGGTGTAGGGACCATACCTGCAGATCAATTTGATATATGGGATCTTTCAAGGCATCTGGATCATCTTCCTCATCATCTTCATAATAATCATCATCTGTGAGAAAAAAAAAAAAGAGGGGTATCAGGAAAACTTCAGCTGGTAAACTGAAATTAAGTTGTACACCAACTGGTACATATTCATGAAAGCTGAAATGAAGACAAAATACAGGAACAGCTGATGCACAGGGGAGATACCGGTACCGTATTTGTTGGAGGCGATGAGATCAGAAAGCAGCTGCCCTGCCAGCCCTTCATCCTCCTCCTCCCCCTCCTCCCCCTCTTCCTCCACCTGCTCCTCCCACATACCACTGGAATCTGAAACAAACCGCAGCCGATCACTGAAATGTCTGCCATCCTGTTCTTTTTTAAAATTAAAACAATCTACAATCCTTCAGCCAGTCAAGGAGCTTCACCTGCTAAATATGCAAATATAAATTCACTGCTACTATTCATAATAAAAGCTGTGTTTTTAATCACCAGAAAGAACAGTATTTGATGTCTGTGTTGTCTTAAAAATAAAACTTCCTTGACAATAGATGACCATCACATTCAGTTTGCTGGGAAAATTATCTGTTCTGCTATTGCAGTGGAGTAATTTTAGTACTCACATTAATTAAAAGTAGTTATTTATAGTGTCACATTTCTATTTCCAGTGGTGTTTTCTGAACCAAATTTAAGGTTACTTTTAATTACACTGGAGAAATCAGAGCACAAACTCAGAAACAAGCGCACACATGGTTGGATTACACTCTCAAATCTGATTCTATGTGCCTCAGAAGCTGATTTGCAAACTACGCAGCGCTCCAAATGTGGTTTGTGCACCCTCTAATGTTTTGGTGGGGATTTACTTCCATAGTTTACTAAACAGTCACAGATATTTAGGGCTATGACAACCTGTCCTACTGCAGAAAGGTCACAAAGTTTAGTGTTCATGTAATTCGAAAGCCGACACTGAATCCCTGTTCTGTATCTAAAGTGGAAACTCCGTAAGCTGAGTAACCAACATCATTTGTGCTCACCTTGGCTCCAGTCCCCTGCATTCGCCCTGCTGGCGTTTGCCTCCACTACCGTCGACAGCTCATTGATGATCAATTTAAAGATCTTCACTAGTAAAGGAATGTTGGTCCACCGCTCAGGGTCTGTGGAGGAGGAATACACAACAAAGAATGTGAAAAGCCATTCAAGTGTTGTAATAATGTATTAGATTTGATACATCGTACAATCTCATAGCTACAAGTCTATGGATCAATACAGTAAAAGTAACAATACAGCCTAGGTCATTTGTTGCCTTACTCTTGGCAGATTTGGATCGTGTGCGGATTCCGTCTTCAAGGTTGTAGATCTCCTCTCCCTTCACTACAATGTCCTGTAGACGCTTGTCATCGGTGTTGAGGCCGTGCTGCAGCAGCTTACAGAGAGCCACCGTGCTGCAGGAAAAAACAAAGATGACCAGAATTTGAGAAACGTGACAAAGGAAGAGAAAAGACAAAAAAGGTTTTGAGAAGCCTTTTATCCCAAAGGAGCAATTTCAATCCCTCTGAATGGAAGCAGAAACTATCAACTAATGGGTTTGGGGAAAAAAAAGATCTGTGAAAAACACAGTCTCATTAGTGCCAAAGAAAATACAACTAGTATGATTTAATTGCAGAGCCACAGTAGCAGCAGCTTCACCTCACCTAAAACAGCAGTTATATGTACATAACATGTTTATGTCACCATCTACAAGCTGTAACACACGCACCTGCACATAAAGACTGCTATAACAAGACTTTAAATCTTTATACAGCAGCCAATTTAGTGCCAAACCCCAACCATTCCCTAAACCTAATACCTACCCTTAACCATAAAACCAAGCCTTAACCCCTCAAACAATCCTGTCATACAGTTATCCTATATATCACCTTTGTCTGAAGGTTAAACCCATGTTAGTGCATAAGTTAATGTAGCAAAAGTGCTTCATTTGTATACAGTCACTAATGAAAATGGTTTTCCGACCTGACTTTCCCCTCGTACTGTCCGTAGAAGAGGTGCTGCCTGCTCATCCACTCCGTCATGACGAACTCCAGTGCCGGTTTCCCTGTCGGTCCAGGCAGACTGCACAAGAACTCCAACAGAGGCTCCAGCTGGGAGTGAACCAGGTGGGCAAACACCATGATCAGAGACTACAGAGGGAGCGGGAAGACACGAGAAAAGGGCAGGGTGGGAGAAAAAGTGAGGTGGTGGAAGTGGAATGGTAAAGTGCTTGGCAATAAACAACAAAAACAAGACCAGGGGTTTCATTTATCAACTGTACGAATACAGTTCCATGCTTAAACCATGGGTACACTCATTTCTGAGTTGAATATGGTCTATCAATTTCTTAAAACGTGCAAATTCCTGATCATGTGGACCAACAGTCACCAAGTGGTAGATAAACGTAATCACAGACAAACTAACTCATCCAGTAAACAAATCAACCCTTTTGTATCTTCATAGTCACATGTATATTGTATTTGACTGCATCGTTCCTTCCTACCTGCATGACACTCAGAGTCTCAGCTTGCTGCATCTTGCTCAGAATCGCTCTCAGGATCTGGTCCAGTTGTTCGCCGAGTTCGGTTCCTGCCCGAGAGATCAGAGTGGACACCAACCTGCCCACAAAGGCGGCTGTGAACTCCGAGGTCCGGGGGTCCAGGAGCTGATTGACCACCTGCATGACGTACCAAAGGCCGCTGTTCCCCTGCTCATCCCTCCACTGGGCGATCTGCTCGAGGGCAACAGAGACATACGCCCGCAGACACTCACCACCGTTCTGGAGAGAGGGGGACAGTGATGAAAGAGCAGACTTTGTGATGAGAATTCATGTGCAGCGAGAACAAATTCATAACTGGGGTATTGTACTGAAAGTAGCTTATGACATTTGCTGGATATATGCAACGTGCTCGTGTCTGGGTAAAATGGAAAAGGAAAAAAAAAAAAAAAAAAAACTTAAATTGAAAAGATGTTGTTGGGTTTAACCTGCATTATCGTGTTGTCATCGGTCCGTAACGTGCACTGTGCCACCACAGGGAACGCCTGACACACCAGCATCTCTGACAGAGGGGGTTTGGTGTTGCGTACAACTGTGGTCAGGATGTCCATGGACGTCTGTGGCACAGACAGAAGACGAGAAAAAATCTTAGGAAAAACTGACAATTTTGTTACAGTGCGGAATGTATTATGTTGGACATGTCTTAACGGAGACAAATGGAGGTTTCAGATGAACAATGAGCAGAGTCTTGATTGACAGGAAGCAAACACTATGAAGCTACAGTAGCCTAGAAAACCAAGACTAATACTAAGTGGTGAAATGCACAGCCTACACCAGCAGACTAACAATACAAATACTACAGTACACTGTGAATTCTGTTCATTGATTCACTACAGCTTAATTAAACTTAGGAAAAGATACTCATACTCCACATGTGGAGAACTTTAGTGGCGGCAGAAAAACAAAACACTTATCGTTCATTGTCAGCATGCAAATTTTAATGAAATCTGGCTGTTTTTGGTAAACAAGTGTTGGTCACGGGGAAAGGACTGTCCTGATAACAGCACAAGACAGAAGGTCAGAAGACCATTAATGTGCCTCCTACTCCCTCTGGCAGGTACCTTTTAGAAACCTCCATGTCTCTTTTTAGTACTTACCGCACAGAGTCCAGAGGGGATCTTGTCAGGGGGAGCCTGCATAATGCTGACCAGTGTTGGGATGAGACGCATCTGCATGGGGCCCTGGCAGCCTTCGATCTGTGCCAGCTCCTTGAAGATATCCTGAGCCAGAGATGCCACCACAGGGTCTGAGGAGGAGCGAGGGAGAGAGGAGAGGGCTTGAGAAAAGATAAACAACACAAATCTACACCTTCTACGAGAAGCACTTTGTGACTGCTGCTTGAAAAAGCGCTACACTATGTCAAGAAAGAAAAAAAAACTTTGGTGGTTTCTATTTTTTGCACAATGTTTTCATCGTATGATTAAGTATTACAGCCAAGCTGGGAAATGTAAAGTCCCAATCCCTGACAATGTGGCCTCTAGTCTTTAAAAGACAAAGAACATGAGGAAGACTGTGTCAGACGTAGGCCTCTGTGAATTTAGTCTGAGAGAAAGGATGTGCTAAGAGAAGCTACATCAGTACCATTGTTATATTTAAGGAAAATAGCGATGGTGAGGGGGCAGATCTTGTTCTCGGCGCTGGTGGTGAAGGCCGGGTCGACTGTGCACACAATGCACAGTGTCTCCATTACGAGGGTTAGCACTTCTGAGCTGAACTGGGCTGCCAGTTGGACCAGTCCCTCTAGGATGCTGGGGAGGAAGGGCTGTAGGACATGGGTGCTCTCTGATAGCTTCAGCTGATCACAGTACCTGGAGAATGAAGAGCAACATATTGACTTGGCATCCAGATACAGATAGATAAAAACAGCCACCTTGTATTATTTCTCCACTGTGTGGAAGCTGATGTCAAAGTTTAGACTAACGTTAGCTACTCCATCCTGCTACTGGATCTGGACCATTTTAAGATGTTTATGGTCCAGCAACAATCTATAACTAGAGAAACATTAAAAAGTCAGCTGTAGACAATGTGTTCAACCAACTCAAGGCACTAAATGTTAGCTATGCTGATAAAAAAAAAATCTCTGTCTCTCTATCTGAAGTCAAGGACCCATTGTTGCTAGTTACTAGGAATGTCAATGGTAAAACCAATTGTTATCAACTCTGGCTAAAGAACTATTATAGTTTTAAGTACTGTGTTTTAAGGCCTTGAGCAGATCAAGATCGCTTGATGGCAACAGACTATAGCCTGTACTTTTACAGTTGTTTATGCTGTGTGTAGTGTTAACTCACAAAAATAACACAATGGGCAGCAGCTCTATTAAAACCAGTTTAAAGCACAGCTTGCTCACCCCCAGATGGCCCTGACTGCAGAGATGCGGACAGAGGGCGGCTGGCTGTCATGAAGCCCGCTGACCGTTGCCTGGAGGAACTGCTGGATGAGCTCAGGAGACATGGCTGCTGTGAAGCGACTGGCTGCCCACAGAGCCCGGCCAAGGAGGAACGGAGACGCCGCTGGTCAAGGCAGAACAAAAAACAAACAGCGGTGAAGACCAAGTCAAAACAGGAAAAAAACTACTTTATTTAGCTTTAGTGTGGCATCATTTTACAGATTTTTGTTCTTTGAGGAATTGAGGAACTTGTAGTGGAAAAAGCTTCAGAGTCACTAATCAGTATTATACTGTATATATTGTAGAAATATCTTACAAGTGTACTCAACAATATTGTTTAAGACAAAAAACAAGCACCTATGCTAAGTGTCTGAAATATTCTCTCTCAGTTTTGACAGGAATCAATCATCATAAGCCTCACAAAGTTTGTACTTGTGGTCGATTTTTCAGGTATTCCTGTTGTGTGGTTGAGATCACTTATACAAATCTCCAAAAGTCAGTTTAGGACTCACCTGCCAGGTTGAGATCAGCGAGAATGACACTGGCCAGGAAGCCGTGCATGTCAAACTGGATTCGACCGTTCTTCACATTCTCTGTGATGATGGTTTTGACTGAACCGAGGGCCAACATACAGGCCTCATGGATCTTCCACCTAATTGTGAGGAAATAATTACTTTTCTGACTTACAAGCATGGGTGTGCACAGATGAAAACCAACACAACAAAAGCAGGCCATCAGTGATCTACACTTATTACCCATCCTAAATTACATCAGGAATATGGGTCAAATTGGATAATGCTCCTCACCAGTGCTCATTGCCACTGTTTCTGGCCTGCTCTGCCTCCTGAAGGTGTTTGGTCGCTGCCGCTGCCAGTGCTGCTGCGCTCTCATTCTGAAACTCTGCAGCAACAGCCTGCAAGCAGAGGCAAAAGGTTGCCAACATTACATAGAGCATTAGGGTTACAAAGGGCACAAAGTAAACAAATGAGCAAAGAATTGTGATGAAACCATTGAAAACGTTCAAAACCTTGGACATTTCTGACTCCTGTTTTACATGTGACTGCACTGCTGAGCCCTCTCATGCAGTTACAGTACATAGCAAAACCACACCGCTCATAGTAAACAACTGTTTCCAGTCCTTTCCAAGGACCAGGCCAAGTGTTTGTGGAGGCTGCATGTGTAGGAGAAGACAAAGGATCCTCCTCCTACGCATTCCTCTAGGACTATCCGTAGAAACGGCACCTACAGTAGCAGGCATGAAGGTAAAATAAACTGTGTTTTGCCTGGAAACAAATGTTACTAACAAGACATAAAACTGGATTCTGCTTAGTTTAAATGGTATTTTGTGTGAGGCAACACAGAAAATCAAACCCCAACACTGAGGGAGACTGAGGGTGCTTTCACATCTGAAGTTTGCTCCACTTGTTTTTAACAAACAAATGAAGTGCTGTAAGCATTAAGTCTTACAGGCAGCTCACTGCCTGGAGTTTTGGTGACCGACTTGCATCATCAGGTCTAATGTGGACAAACGTGGATGACAGCAGGCCATGAAGCACATTACTGAGGGTGTTCACACCTAACCTGGTTAAAAAAAAAAAAAACCTTTGGCATGTTTGCTGTGGTACGTGTAGTTTGTCTCTGGATTGTCAAGGAGAAAGGTCAGATGATGCCTGGTGTAGACCAAACAGGATTGAGACCATCTGAGAAGAGAATCTGGATCCACTTCCAAGAAGAATCTGGCACGGTTTTAACAGTCACATCTTGTCCATTACAAATTCACGCAGCGTTGTTATGAGTTGGCAGTTATTTTTTACAGTATCTTACCAGCAGCAGGTCCTGAGCAGAGATCCTGACAGAGTAGGAGAACGTGTCATCATCCTCATCCTCTACAAACTGCTGTGGGTTAGCTGTCCACACTTTAATCTGAAAAAAGAAGAAGAAAAAAAAAAAACTGACAATGCATTGCAAACAATAGACACCAGTCTTTTTATATAATTGCTGTGCTGATCATGTTTTTCAGCTCATACCTCCATCCGTGCAGCCATTTTAACCATGTGCTACAGTTATTTCTCACCTGGTCCTCGGTGATCTGCATGTACAGGATGATGTAGTAGATGAGTTCAGGCAGGGCTTTCTTCACTGTGCTCTTGAACTTGTTGTTCTCCAGCAGCGTGTGGACAAACTCGAAGATGCTGAACACCAGATTCTCAAAACCCAACACTTCACCTGTGTCGACCAGAAATATTTAGAAAAATTCTGTATTTGACCAGTGCCACTTCCTCTGTGTAGTTTACTTCTGTTCTTACATAAGTGATCATTGGGTTAGGGAATACAAAATTAAACAAAGGCAAAACATGTAAGAACATCTAACATCAAACTCTGATCAGACCATCTACTCCATAGTATGATGGTTTTCCTGTATATCGAGTTATTGTATTGACAAGAAGGTCTTTCTTCCATCACAACACTTTCTTCTAAATTTGAAGGTTTTTTTTTTAAACTTTTGCTAAGCAAGCAGGATGAGCTGCTGCAGGGGGGTAGATTAGTGACTTAGAGAAGCTGATCTGTAACTGCAAGCTCAAACCACAGTAAGTGCCCATTAACTGATTTGGAATTACCAGAAAACAAACACGAATGGCTGTGTTATCGCAGCAGAGAAGTAGCTCACAGACAGTCTGCACTGACAAGGATATAAAGCTGCACTTTCAGTCAGTGTGTTCCATACAATGGGTAATATCTGCTGCATGGAGGACACCATGGGTTTGGGGAAGTTCTTCACCAGTGCTGTTACTGCCTGGGAAAGGAAGAAGAAGAGGAAATACAAATATAAAGAGTGTAGCAACTACACATTTTCCTTTTTAATACCAAACACAATTTGTTTCCCAGGGGCTTTCTTGAACAACTGTATCTACTACCAGCATGACATAGTAACTAACACCTACAACTACCCTGCAGTCACACTATAGCTAATCTGTTAAATGACTTCAGTGTTACGCCCTCTTTTCTAAACTGTGCCTGTTTCTGGAGAGGAAAAAAACCCCATACCACACTCTCTGGCCCATAGAGTCACTCACCTTAAGGACTTCCATTTTGAGGCCGCTATCTGATGAGGGTCCATCAGGCATCTGCAGAGCCTGCACAAATGCTTCTGTGAACTGCTGCACCACAGGAAAGATCAATGCTTTGGCTGCACCCTACACACACACACACACACACACACACACAAATATATGGAAAAACACAGTATGAAAACTTACTCATCATGTCACTTCCTTCGATTAACAAAAAATATATACATGAGATAGTGGTGTAACCGGCATAACACAAATTAAAATAAATCTCCCAACAATCAATCCACTGTTGTAACGTTCTGGAAAAAAAAAGTCTGCTTTACTTTGCCACTTTGGGCAGGTCTCTTCTGTAAAACTGATAATGTACCTTAAAAAACATGCACCTGAACCTGACTTATTTTCCATGTCAAACAAGGTTCAATCAAAAGTAAAAGTGTTCTATTATATAAAGAATTTACACAAAATTTATTAGGAAATGATTCATATAATATCTGAAATAAAGTCCTCCCATCACGCTGTGATCGCCTCACCTTCTCAAGCTCTTCAATAGCACAGATGAGGTTGGCACAGGTGGTGAATATCTCCACAGCTCTGGCACGGGTACGAATGCTATAAATCTGCAACAGTAAGGGAACATTAAAATGGGCCTGAGGGTCATGTCCGCTCAGACTGATGACTGTGTATAAAGATGGACAATGCATCAGCTCCTAGATGTGAAGCTACCGCGAGTCAATCGCCCCCTGGTGTCCGGCGTCCGGCTGCAGTGCAGGTCATAAACCCTGTCGCTCCACGTTAGCAGATGGGAAACTAAAAACTCAAAGCACTAACTGAATTAAATTTGACAACTCTGACTGGCAGCCTGATGCATCACTCAACTACTTAGCAACTACTGTGCAGAATTTGGTTGCAAAATGCCAAAATGGCAGTCGCCATATTCACAATATTTTGGCTTCACTTTTGTAGAGTGGAGGGAAGTGGTGACACGTCATCCATCTTTTACATTCAGTCTATGGCTCAGGCAAAATATTAAACTGCAATTACCTAAATGTCCTGAGTGGTTAAAACAGGATTCCTAGCCATATTCTGAGCTTAATACATCAGGAATGAAATACTGAATTAGGTCCCAGCGAGATGAAAACGTGCTTCATGCTACATCTGAACACAGCCTGCTGGTGCCACGGAGAAGTATCTTGAACATCACGGAGCACAGATGGCTCTCTACAGTGGTTGGCCCCAACTCAGATACTCTTGCATAATCTTCTTAACTTAATATTGTAATCCAATTTTTTTGCTTTATTGTGCATTACACCCTTAGTAACCAGAAGAGTTCAGAGTTGTAGCGGTACCTCAGCCATGGTGAAAATCTTGTACATTTCAGGTAAGATGACAGGAGCCACCAGCGGCATCTGTGTATCTGTCACCTCCCGAGTAAACTCTGTAAACATGACACAAACATACATGTAAGTATTACATAAAATAAACAACAGGGAAGCAGGGTATTAGCTATTACTGACTGATTCTACACAACTGTTCCATTTTACCTTCAGTTTTAAAGTCCTTTATGAAACTGACTTGGATTAAGTGCAAATTAAAATTGCACTTAAAACTGTAAGCAGAGATGTGAACACACCAACAGTTTGTAGACTGTGCAAAGTTTGATTATACTGATTTACATTTGTGTTTAAACAAACTGATAAGAGCAGATCCATCACTAATGCATACAGGACAGGGCAATTAAATGAGATTACTCTGAGTGAATGTGCATCTGTGCTGACAAATGAGTGGATGCTATATGTTAGGGCTCTGCAACCTCATGCAATTAGGATTTAAATGCAAGTACAAAATGGATGCAACTTGCATGATTTTTATAACTTTGAAACCGCCTCTTTCGACATTAATGATACTGCTAAAAACTGTTAAATATTAATACGGCCTCTGCCCTCAGGAAGAAAAGCATCAGCTGATATTCTCATAAAGACTACTGCATTCTAAAAAAAAAAAGAGAATGTTATGCTGAACATTTAGGCCAAGTGTGCCCATGTGTTTGTTAGTACCTACCTGTTAGGACCCTCATGGCCCCATGCACGGCACTGACATCGCCACTGACCAGCATCTCCATCAGCAGTGTGAAGAGCTGTGGCCAGGCCTCAGGCCAGTCCCAGTGGGCGATGGCTGACACAGCGTACGCCACACTGGAGCGGACTTTGCTGATAGACTCCCGTAGGCCGCTTGGCAGCAGTTCCCTGATGGCTGCTTTAGCCTGGAGGAGAACACCAGTGGTTGACAACATTTGGCTTAAAAACACCCTCAGAGGTCAAAAAAAAACTTTGCAGCAAAGCATTTGAGAGACAAACCTTCAGCTAGTTATAGACAAAAGAAATGTGTCCAAGGTGAGTAATAGTTTACCTGATCTGTGGTTTCAGGAGGCCTGAATTTCTCTGACTGGGAACACCAGTGAGTCTCCACATACTGTTTCAGGATGACTGATGCTAACTGCAAACACACAGTGAGATAGCTGCATTTGATAAGTAGCACAAAGGTGATACAGTCACAGATAAAATTGTAACTCAACACATAACAACATCAGGACTGGCTATTACAAAAATAGATAAAACTAGACAGCACTCAGCGTGTGCAACCTCCACCTAGGGCAGCTCAGTGTCCCTATAATGCCATAAAAGCAATACTCCATTGATAGTTTGACCCTCATATATGATAAGTTGACTATGAAAACCTGTTGGTTGGCATTTGGACTAATGCTGATAGCTTTATTAGTTTGAAAGCAATTAAATTAAATTCAGATTTTATTTGTGTAGCGCCAAAATAACAGGGACTTCAGTGAATTGACGTCGGACAAAGCGGTGAAGATGTCAAATTTCTACAAGTTTGTGTTCTGCTTCCTCAACAGCTGTTTGATAAACTGCTCATACGGTCTCTGTTACTGGCTGACTGTTGCACTGTGGAGAGATCTCCGTCTCTGTTCTCCCTGTCTGTGTGCATGTGTTTGAATGAAGCGCAGCCCCTCTGTCCTGTATGCAGAGAAAAATACAGTTGGAAAACCAAATAGGATGGTCCGGGTCAACACAGGTTGTGGCGGGTTATGGTTAAAGGAAGCACAGGGTGTACTACTTATTAGGTTCCAACACTGGAAACACAGCTATAATGAGCAGCTGGAACATCAGGATCCTCGCCGACAGACTACTCTGAACGAGATGTAGGTGCCTGCTAATAGAGCTAGCTTAGTCAGATAGCGAACACGCATCTCTGAAAACATTGGAACAAATTCTAAATTGGCATTACTTGGGTGGACTGTTCACATATCGTCAATCTAAGTGGTTAGTTTGTCTCAGAAAAAATGTCAAAACTTAATAAAGTGGCATGATACCAGTCCTATGGATGACAACAATAACAGCTTTGAACGTGACTGAAAATCTCTGATATCACTGGCTAGGATCTAGATAATCCCGATCAGCTCTCACCCGGCTGTCACTGCATAGAGCAGATCTTTCCCCAACTGTGGTCTGTCACCTTACTGGACTACTTCAGTACCTGTCTCACACAGCGGGGTGTACTGAGTGACAGCACTCGGTTTCCATGAATAGGCAGCTGTCAATGACCCTGGGAATTGTCTCTGTCTGTGCTCAGTATGCAAATAGGCAGCTGTCAATGACCCTGGGAAATGTCTCTGTCTGTGCTCAGTATGTGCAGAAGCGCAGCCACGCACGTTGGCCACAAGGGCACTCATACAGCAGGCAGCCTTTTATAATATTCCTGTATCCATCTTATGATACAGATCAGTAACAAGATCTAATCAGCTGTTCCGTGGGCCATACCCTATCTCTCCAATAAATATCATTAAAATCGGTTCATTACTTTTTACGTTATGCTGTGAACACACACACACACACAAAAACAAACGCTGATAAAAACATAACCCCTGCCCTTGGCGGAGGCAAAAGATATTCAAGACTTTAATTTCACTTGTTTGTGATATTTCTCCTAAAGTTTCTCTGCAAAGTCTACTTTGATTTCTGCTCACCTGACGAATGGCGAGCACTCCCTGAGGATTGACCGTGAGTTCTGCAAGGTGGACGCCAAACTCTACAACATGAGCACATCATCAAGAAGGACAGAAAATAAATCCATTAATGAAACAAAAACCAGCCAGCTTTGAACATAAAGTACAAGATAAAGACAGGCTTTGAGTGTGGCTAATTGTAATAAGGGTCACCTCCAACAAAGGTTTTACAGGTTACCCTACAGTATGGCTTAAAAAAAAAATTAAGTACTGAATTACTATGGCTGTAAAGACTATGACTAATCAGTCTAAAAAACATCAGAAAACTACTTTTAAAAATGCTCATCAAAATTTAAAATGTCATGTACTGTCAAAACCCACAAACATTTACCGTACTTTCCGGACTATAAGCCGCTACTTTTTGTCGCTTCATGCACACACCCTCATCATAGACAACACACGACAAAATGCATATGATGCCGCTTTAAGTTACAGGCGATCAATCTGGCTGTCGAAATATCTCATGTTACAACGTGGACACCCTACGTACAATGTTTTTTCGTCTTACATTTAGTGGGTGCAGCTTATAGTCCAGAATTTATGGTAATTTACAAAGATGTTAGACCAAGAAAAGCAGCAAACTGTCACATTTGAGTGCATGAGACCATTCAATTCTGTGCTTTTTGGCTTGAAATACTTTCAATTTGCTGCATGTCTTTCTTTCAACAGACAAATCGCCTAATCGACTACCCAGTGCAGCTCTACTGTTAAGCTAATAGGGAGTTTTCCTACACAAACTCAAGGCTGGAATTGTCGTCAAAGACCTCTTTTACAGACTTGAATCTAATAATCTAATCTAATTTGGTGCTTTAAATAGGTTTATTAGTACTAATAGTTGCAGCTTTCACTTTGACATTAAAGAAGCTTTTTCTTGTTCAAATATGAAAATAGACATGAGTGCTTTTCAACTGGGACATGTGTTCAGTCCCTGGGAACAGAGCTACTGCAACATGATGACTACAAGGCACTGTGTGAATCAGGTAGCACCATATCAGAATTTCTTCAAAGATCTGGGTCAGTAAACAAATATGTATCAGTGCACCACAATGTGACAAATGTCCAGGTGTTATCATGAGCCTGGCTTCCACAATAAATGTCAGGATTTACTTATTTAGGTTCCAGAGCTAACAGTGGTTTGATCTTGCCCTAGTTCACATTCACAAAGTAAGAGTTACACATGAAGCTCAGCTGTGAACA